AACCGTACGACCCTTCGCATCACTACCGCCCTTTCATCTCCAGCCTCGGTACTGCATGCTTCATTTGCTGCAGTGAGGAGTGCTTGAGAAAAGCGAACGAGAATGATTGAACTATGAAAGAGTTGGGTACAAGTACTAACCCTAATTAGGTTGTACCCCTTATGGGCTACCCCACTACAGCCTACACTAATGTATAAGATATAATGTTCTAACACACCCCCATAGGCAAAGTGGGGGAGATCAAGGGGTCACAAGACCAGTCAAGCAAAGTAAAGCAAAGAAAGCTCAGGGTGGATCACAAAGTCACCACACATTCCGAGCACAAGTTCAAGGCCACAAGGCCAGTTCACATGCAGGAGCACATATATATATAAAAGGCTAAAAAAGCAAGAGCACGAGTATATATATGTGACAGTACAAGCAAGGTCAAGAAGTGAGCAAGTGAGGCAAGGCAGGCACAAGACCAAGCTGAGTACAGAAGCGGTGATGATCACAAGGCGCAAGTGCCTTAGTGAAGATATCAGCAGTGTTGGCCTCAGAGGCCACGTACGCAAGTCGCAACTGACTACGCTGCTGCAGCTCACGAGCAAGAAAGTAGCGGAGAGCAATGTGCTTCGTTCTGTGCTCCAGGCGCTGCTCCCGACACAAGGCCAGCATGGCCTTGTTGTCTACGTACAGCACTGGAGGAGAACGAGGCAGCTCTCCGAGGTTAGTCAGCAGGTAGGTGAGCCAGCGAAGCTCCTGAGCAGCCATGGCTCCTGCGTAGATCTCAGCCTCACAACTGGAGCCGAGAACAGAAGACGAGCGAGTAGCCAGCCACGAAACAGAGCCAGAACCAAGGCTGAAGGTGTAACCCTGTGATGACCGCTGTGTAGCCTGGTCGTCAGCCCAAGAAGCGTCTGCGTGCCCAGTGAAGACCACTGGACTCTGCCCTCCAAGCACTAGCCCCATGCCCGATGTACTGCACAAGTAGCGCAACACCCTCTTCGCTGCAGCCATGTGCTCCGGTCTGTGTCTCCCAGGAGCAACAAAGCGTGCAAGAATGCTAAGAGGGTATGCAAGGTCAGGTCGTGTGCAGGCCATCAGGTACATGAGGCAGCCAACAAGCTCTGGGTACGGGCCACTCGACTCTACGGACTCATCCGAAGGCAGAGCTGAGAGCGAGTGGCGAGTAGACAGAGGAGTGGCCTGAGGCGAGGAGTACGTGAAGCCGAAGTGCTCAAGGACCTGCTGCACCATGTGTGACTGAGTCAAGGTAATGGTGCGCTGTGCTCTGTCCCGGGTGATCTGCAAGCCAAGGTAGCTGCGCAGTTCACCCAGGTCTGTGCACGTGTGTCTCTTCTGCAGCTCAAACTTCACGTGGGCGAGTCCAGCAGTGTCAGCAGTGGCAAAGACCGAGTCGTCGACGTACACAAGGATGTAGAACAGCGGCAAAGAGGTGTCGGTGCGCAGAAACAGCGATGGGTCGGCAGTAGAGGGAGCAAACCCAAGAGTCGCAAGCGTAGTCCTCAGTGTGTCGTGCCACTCACGCGGTGCCTCGCGGAGACCGTAGACTGGCCAGAGGAGGCTCCACTGGGTGCAAGGAGGAAAAGTCCCAGTGAAGCCAGGTGGGCGGCGCAGCCAGATCTCCTCGTGCAGGCTACCCTGCAAGAAAGCAGTGCTGAAGTCAAGAGAGTGAAGCTCGTAGTCGCGCTGAGCGGCTATGTGCAACAGCACCCGAAGAGTGGTCATCTTCGGGGTGGGAGAGAAGGTCTGAAAGTAGTCAACTCCCTGCCGGTGACTGAAGCCACGAGCCACGTACCACGCCTTGAAGACAGTTGGAGAACCTGGCGGCCGCTTCACCCTGAAGATCCACATGCCACTGACGATGTATGCCCCAGGTGGGGGAACCGCGTCAACGTAGGTGCCTGTGGACTTCCAAGAAGCCATCTCTGCATCCATAGCTGCCTGCCACTGAGAGGATTAGGGACCTTCTATCGCCTCCGCGTAAGAGCGCGGAGTCGGGATGTCAAGTGCATCCGGGTCTCCCTCAGGGGTAAGCAGTACGGACACGAGATGAGGTGAAGCAGCAGCCAGACACTGGAACTCCTCCTGCCTGTCCTCAAGGACGTCCGTGCCAAGGGCACACTCACCCCCGACGGACGGAGGACAGACAAACTCAGACTCAGCGACAAGACTAGCAGCGTAGTCTAGACGACTGCGAGCAGCAAAGTCGACGAGCTCAGCAACTAGGGCAGACGCAGCAGTGGACTCAAAAGAAGGGTCAGTGACGACAGTAGCAAGGAGACGCGTGACAGTAGGACTGGCAGCACGAAGAGAGTCCGACTCCGGGTCGGCAAGAGCAGGAAGAGAAGACTCAGGAGGAGAAGGCAAAGGGGCACGCAGAGGAGCAGTGGACGGACGCAGAGACATCCGGTGCGTGCCAGGGACAGGAGGAGGACGCTGACGCAAACTGCGACCACTAGTGCGAGCAGCACGGACAGGCGACGGAAGGCGAGACGCAGGCTCACGACGCTCAGCAAGACCTCCAGTAGGACCAGCGTAGGGAGACGCAGCAGGCAGTGGGGAGGCCGGCAGTAACTTTAGCTGTGACGGGTCAGGCGGTGGACACTCTAAGGGAGGAGGAGGACTAGTAGAAGGCGGGAGACCAAGAACCTGCTGAAGAAGCGGAACGAAGTACGGCCAAGGCCGCGCGGCGACTCCAGACACAGCAGGGACAGCACCAGCACCCCCAGCGGCAGCACCAGCGCCAACAGTACCTCCAGTTGCAGTACCTCCAGCAGCACCAGCGTCGCCCGCAGCAGGACAGCCGCCAGGACTGACAGCAGTAGCCTCAGCGCCAACACCCGCAGCAGCTCCAGCTCCAGTTGTACCTGCAGGCCCAGCAGCTCCAGCACTCCCATTACGAGCACCTCCGGGACCGGCGGCACCAACACCCTCAGCAGGCGAAGAAGCTCCAGCTCCAGCAGAACGCCTCCAGCGCCAGGCTAACCACTCGCACATCTCCTGTGAAGAGAGTGGCTCCCGCCGAGACGAAGCACCCGGAGTACCTCCAGGTCCAGCACCACCAGACGCCACACAAGCCGGCCCAGCGGCCGCCGGCTCCGCACCCCCAGGCTCAGCAGCTCCAGACGTGGCACCCCCAGGCTCAGCACCCCCAGGCTCAGCACCCCCAGGCGTAGCACCCCCAGGCTCGGCACCCCCAAGCGTAGCACCCCCAGAATCAGCACCCCCAGGTATAGCACCCCCAGGCCCAGCACCCCCAGTCTCAGCACCCCTTGGCTCAGCACCCCCAGTAGTACCACCCGAAGGCCCAGCACCCCCAGGCGTAGCAACCACACGCTCAGTTCCCCCAGGCTCAGCACCCGCAGCATCACCAGAGTCACCAGTAACCTAGACAGGCTCGACTGCGTCTACCTGGGACACACCTGAAGGGGCAGGACCCTGAGGGGGGAGGGGGTCTACCGGGGGGGGGACCTGGCACAAGGAAGAGCGATGGCGGGGGGATGGACGGAGTGCGGTAAGGGGAAGAGGCGATAGTAGGGGACCGACTCGTCAAACGTGACGTCCTGGGAGGACAGAACACGACGAGAGGTGGGGTGGTAGAAATGCCACCCTGGCGCGTCAGGGGGGAAGCCAAGGAAGACACAGGGAGCAGCACGAGGGGACAGCTTGTCCGCAGACAAGTCGCGGACAAACGCCCGAGATCCCCAGACACGGAACGCAGACGCATCGCCTACCTTCCCCGTCCACAGCAAAGCTGGGGAGGTCTCCGGCATGGAGACCCTGGGGTGAAGGTTGATCTGATGCGCCGCGTACCGAACCGCAAACGGCCACAGAAAATGGGGGGCAGCCGCATGCATCATGGACGTACGGGCGACGTCCATGACCATGCCAATGCGGCGCTCAGCAATCCCATTTTGCTGTGGAGAGTCCGGAAGCGTAAAGGTCTGGCGGATGCCTCGCGCACGATAGTAGGCTCGCAGAAGGCCAGAGGAGAACTCTCCGCCTCTGTCAGAGTGCAGACGCAAAACAGGAAAGTCCGAGCCGAAGCTCTGCCTGAGCTGGAGACGAGCTGCGGGGATCAAGTCGATCAACACCTCACTGACACCACCCTTGCTGCGCAAGGGGAAGACTGTGGTGTAACGCGAGTAGTCGTCAACCACCAGCAGGAAGTAGCGCTCGTGACCCTGTCCACGGACGCGGGCCGGGCCCCACATGTCCATGTGAAGCGTCTGCAGCGGGGCCTCTGTCGGAGGAAACTGGGAGGAGTGAGGGGCAGCCCGCTGCCGCCCCTCGACACAGGGGACGCAGGTAGGGCCAGGCCCAGGAGGAAGGGGAGGGAGGTACCGGGGAAGACCAGAGACAAGGACACGGGAGGCCATGCCTCGGAGACGAAGGAGGGAGGGGTGACCAAGGCGGTGGTGCCAGAGGAGAGTCTCGTGAGACAGGAGGTGACACGAGCAGGGGGCAGACTCAGGATTAGACCTGGACGCTGCAGCAAACACCTGACTCGACGCAGCTACCTGACCAGACGCAGTGACTGGTGGAGACGCAGTGGTCAGAGTGTACAGGCTCGACCCTGGCCGATGTGTAAACGTGGCCAGGTGTCGGCCTGTCCGAGCGTCCGTGCGGTGGGTCACCCGCTGACTCGCAGGAGTGAACTGGTGAACCCCCGCATCCTGTAGGCCAGCACCACTCACCAAGTTCGTAGAGAACGAGGGGAGGTAAAGACCAGACAGGGTGCCAGAGGGGGCCGCCGGACTTGGGAGGACAGTGGAGTAGTGAGCAAGGACAGGACCCCCAGAGGGGTCTGCCAGAGAGACTGCAACTGGCCGGCCAAGCGGCGTAAGTGTGGTGCAGTCTCGAAAGAAGGAGCGAGAAGCCCCCAAGTCAAGGGTGAAGGTGTGGGAGGCCGAAGCCGACGCAGTACCTGAGAGAGCAGACTCACCAGCACCTGAGGGAGCAGACGCACGAGCAGTACCCCCACCACGCTGCTGCTACTGCTGCTGGCGCTGACCACCACCGGAGCCAACCCTTTGCGCAGCGCCACCCCAACCAGCTCCACCTCCACCGCCTCCTTCACCGCCGCCACCTCCGCCACCTCCGCTCCCACCGCCACCGCCGCCGCCGCCTTCGCCTCCACTGCCGCCACCGACACCTCCACCCCCGCCACCACCCCCACCGCCACCCCCACCCCCTCCACCGCCTCCACTGCCTCCTCCACCGCCCCCGCTAGCTCCTCCAGCGCCCCTGCCCCCCTTGCCCTTGCCAGGGCGGCGTCTCCCGCTAGGGGTAGACGCCGCACCGACCGACTCAAGCCCAACGAGGTCGGCCGCAGCAGCAGAGGCAACAGAGGGCAAAAGGGGGGAGGGGGAACACCCCTCAAAGATGGGGGTGCGAGGGTCACCACGAGAGGCTCCTACAGCGACTATGCTCTTCTCTGCTGCTAGGAGGGCCTTATTGAGGAGGTCAATGGTGAGAGTGGTGGGGCAAACTGAGAGGAAGTGGTCCCTGACTACGCGAAGGGAGTCAGGGAGACGGGTGACTACTTAGTAGAGGGTGATGTACATGGGGGGGGGGTTCTTGGCGCAGAACTCAGCAGGAAGTGCAGCGCGTTAGCGAGTGTCACTAGTGCGGAGGTGCGTAATGAGGTCAGCGACTGTGGGAAAGGCAGCAAGGTCAGGGAAGAGGTACGGTAGCATGAGGCGGCTCAGTGCAGCAGTGGCAGGGGAGGAGTAGCGTGCAACTACAGCGTCGTACAAGGTGTGAGCATTCTTGTACTGACTAAAGTGCGCACGCTCAGAGGTAGGCAGGTGGCGACGCACAGCAAGACGTGCAGCAGCATCGCGTGTGGCCCACTGTGAGCAAACAGTGGCGTCGGCATCCGCAGTAGGGGCAGGAGAGGCACCAGAGGTGAGGTCAAAGAGGGAGAGACCGTCTGCCCTACCGTACTGTAGGAAAAGCTGCAGGTCATCTACCCATACGTCTAAGTCAATGGCACGACCCTGAGCGTCAAAAGCGAGGACACTAGGGTTAGCCATGATAGCAGTAGACTAGCAGCGCGAACAGTAGGGTAAGGGCAGTGCAGTGACAGAGGCGCTGCTCTAAATGGACAGGGCGGCTCAGGCGGCTCGGCGGCTTGGCAACTGGGCGGCTCGGCGGCTTGGCGACTGGGCGGCTCGGCGGCTCGGCTCGGGCGGCTCGGCTGCTCGGCGGCTCGGCTGCTGGGCGGCTCGGCTGTTGGCGGCTCGGCTGCTGGGCGGCTCGGCGGCTCGGCGACTCGGCTGTTGGGTGGCTCGGCGGCTCGGCTGCTGGGCGGCCCGGCGGCTCGGCGGCTCGGTTACTGGGCGGCTCGGCGGCTTGGCTGCTCGGCGGCTCGGCTGCTGGGCAGCTGTGCCGCTAAGGAAGGCGGGGCCGCGAAGGGCGGCGGGGCCGGTGAAGTGAGCGGCGAGGGGGCCGCAGAGGAGGCGGCGGGAGGGCCGCTGAAGGGGCGGCGTCGAGGCCACTGCAAGAGTGGCGATGGGGCCGCTGAAGAAGGCGGCGGGGCCGCTGAAAGGGCGGCAACGGGCCGTAAGGGGAGGGCGGCGACGGGGCCGCTGCAAGGGCAGCGTCGGGGCCGCTGCAAGGGCAGCGTCGGGGCCGCTGTAAGGGCGGCGACGGGGCCGCAGGTGAAAGGGCGGCGTCGGGCCACAAGGGGAGGGCGGCGACGAGCCACAGGGGGAGGGCGGCGACGGGCCGTTGAGGGCGGTACGACGGGGCCGCAAAAGGGGCAGCGCAACGGGGCCACGAAAGGGCGGCGCGACGCGGCCGCGAAGGGCGGCGCGACGGAACCGCTAAGGTCGACGCGACGGGCCGCTAAGGGTGACGCGACGGGGCCGGTAGGGAAGGCGCGACCCTAAGCGCGCTTCGGGCAGGGGCGGGACACGCCCCGGGCAGGAAAAAAAAGTCGGTGGGCCCTAGGAACAGTTCCCACTAGGGAACCTGCTCGATACCATGAGAAAAGAGAATGAGAATGATTGGACTATGAAAGAGTTGGGTACAAGTACTAACTATAATTGGGTTTTACCCCTTATGGGCTACCCCACTACAGCCTACACTAATGTATAAGCTATGATGTTCTTACAGTGCACAGTAGTTCATTCATTTTTCACTACCTTCACTCCTGGCCGTAGCAGGTCTTGACCCGCTTGACTACTTCGCTGAGTTCGGAGCAGTGCTGATACTGCTGACGCGGAAGTTTCTTTGTGAGGAAATCAGCTGCCTTGTCACCCGTCGGGCAGTAGGTCAGGTCGACCTTGCCTTTGTCAACTTTGTCCTTGACGAAGACGTACTGCAACGCGATATGCTTGGTGCAGTCAATGAAGCCAGGCTTGTTCGCGATTCTGATCGCGCTCTAGTTATCACAGTGCAGACGGAAGTTTGGCGAAGCTGGGATTTTCACCTCCTGTAGTAGTTCCTGAAGTTAGAGACCTTCAAGAACAGCTGCTGTTGCTACGATGAGCTCGGCTTCTGCTGATGACAAGGCAACCATCTCCTGCTTCTGCGAATTTCAGGAGATGGGGCCACTGGGCTCGAGACGGAAGAGGAAACCTGTCCTGGACCGTCGATTGTTGGGGTCAGCGGCATGATCAGCATCCACGTAGCCGATGAAGTTGAGGGACGCGGTTGGGATGGTGGAGTAATAGAGCCCGACATTGGGCGTGGAGATGAACAATTGAATTGCTCGCTGAAGATCTGAGAGATTTTCAGCCGTTGGGGGTGCGAGAGTACCGGGCCACCTTGCTCGCAATGTAAGAGAGGTCTGGCCTGCAGGTAACAGAGGCAAAAAGCAGGCATCCAAGCTGCTGTTGGTAAGTCTAAAGCCCAGCGGGGAACAGGGCTTTGTTGTCAAGTTTGTGGTTGGGTCCTAGAGTGCGATAAGGGGTGGAGAGCGGTGCAGGTGCAATATTAAAGCGCTTGCCAAGTTCCTCTGCATACTTGGCTGCTGAGAGATGGATAGCTTATGGGGAGTAAGTGATGTTGAGGCCGAGGAACTGCTTCACGTCGTTGTTGCATGTGATGTTGACACGCCCCGCAAGGTTTTTCTCGAACTGCTTAAGCAATTCGGGGCTTGATCCTGTGTAGAGGAGGTCGTCGATGTAGACCATGAGTAGGATGTATTCGCCACGGAAAACGCGGCGATACATCCCTGGATCGTGAGGCATTGCTTGGACCCAATTTCAAGCAGGAAGTTGTGTAGGTACTGCAGCCAGAGCCCCGGCGCCTGTTTGATCCCGTTAAGGGATTTTCGCAGCTGGCAGACGCGCGAGTCCCCTTCTCCGTATGTGTGCGGCTGCTCCATGCATCTACTAACGCATATAGGAACGCGTTCTTCACATCAATTTGTTGGAGCATCAGATGTCGTGCAGCAGCGATGGCGAGGAGAATTCTGACGGAAGTGTGACGACTGACCGGCGCAAATGTCTGGTCGGAGTCGATGCCGTGCCTCTAGTCGTATCCACGTACAACCCAGCGCGCCTTGAATCGTTTGATCATGCTGTCAGCTGCGGTCTTCACTCGGAAAACCCATTTCCCGGAAAGGATCCTCCTTCCTTGATCTCGACATCCATCACCTCGCGCCACTCTTTGCTGTGGGGTCCCGTAAGGGCTTGGCGCGGGTTCTTCGATTCGATGATGCGCGGCACCGTTGAGGTAGCGGTGTGGACTCCAAGAAGCTGCATTCCGGTGACGGTTTTGTCATGGCAATGTTGCGGGACGACTTCCTGAACGTCGTCGTCGTCGCTTTCTGGTTCAGGCGGAGCTGGTGGTGCTGCGCCTCCGCCGCTTCCGCTCCCTCCTGTTGCGCTCGCTCCTCCTGCTGCGCCCGCTCCTCCTTCGGACGGGTCATCGTCATCGTCGTTGTCGTCGCGACGTTTGCCTCTGGTGTCTTGCTCCATAATGGCTATTGCAGCTTCATCCTCCGGCGTGGCGTAGCTGTGCCCGTCATTGGCGTAGATGCGATTCGCGCTCGCCTGCTCATCTTCGCGGAATTGTTGGAGGAAGAGGCACTCGTAGAAGATGACGTCGTGCGCGTTCTTGATCTTCTGGCTCGTGGGGTCGAGGATGAGCCACGCCTTGTACTCGTGGCTGATGGCGAGGTAGATTCCCCAGCGCGCGCGGCTCCTGAATTTGCCGATGGTTGATGTTGGCGGGCGGTACTGCACTATGCACCCCCACACGCGGAGCCTGGAGGTGTCGCCCTTGGTCCCTGTCCACTTCACATGTGGAGACGAGTTCCCGGCAATGGCGGTGGTTGAAAGCAGGTTGTGCACACGTACAGCGTGGTGCATCGCGTGCGTCCAGTAGATTGGCGGAAGCTTCAAATGCTTCATCAGCGCGCGCACCTTTGTCATGAGCGTGCAGTTGGTGCGCTCGGCTACTCCCTGTTGCTGGTGCGTGTAGGGGAGGGAAATATGGTGCTCGATTCCCTTCTGCGCCAGGCAATCCTGCATCTCCTTCCTTCTGAACTCTGTTGCGCCGTTGGACTGCCAAATCTTCAGCTTTTCCCCAGAGTGCCGCTGCGCGTGCGCAAGCCAGAGACGGAACATTTCTTACGCTCTGCTGCGCGCCTCCACATTCACGACCCACACGTAGCGCGTTCCAGCGTCGACAAAGGTGAGTGTATACAACTCGTCGTCGATTCCGCAGTGTCCCACGTTGAGGAAGTCACTGTAAACCTTGTGCAGCTTGGGGTAGCAATCCTGGTTTGAGTAGGGGGGACGGCTGGTGGCTCAGCGCGGCTCTGGGGAAGACGGTGTAGTTGCGCGGATGCGTCGCGCCTCTCACTCGGTGCCATCAGGGCGCAGGAGTGCGCCAGGTACGAATACGCCAGCTTCGATGCAATTTTTCTGTGCCACGCACGAGGGGTGACTAAGGCGCTGGTGCCAGATGGCATCGTTAGCGCGAAATCCAGAGGTGCGCATGTAGCATGTGCAGACTGCTTCGTGGTCTTCCTCTGGTACTAGTACAGATGCTGCATCAGCTTCTTTGTCATTCCCTGTGGTCAGCATCAGCGCGAGTGGTGCAAATGCTGCATCAGCTTCTTCGTCATTCCCTATGGTCAGCATCAGCGTGAGAAACTCTCTGTTGCGAATGACAGAGTAGGGGATGTTAGTCCCAGGGATTGTTCCAGGGACAAATGTTGGTTCGCGCGGCTCGGGGGCAGGCCCATAGACAGTGCGCCGCGGGGTAGAGGGCTCGTTGCCCCAATCGATGGTGTCCCACGGGTCGCGCTGCGGCTGGATGTCACGCAGAGGAACTGCAGATGCAGGGCGGCGCGGTGGCCGACCAAGAGGATGCTCCCCAGCCTTCGCCGGAAGTGCCCCAGCCGCTTATCTTGCCACCAAATGCAGCAACCCATCTGCCAGTGTTGTCGCCAGTTGCCGCTCCCAACCACCTATGTCACTCGTGCCCCATCCACCAGCACTTCCTCACCCCCCTTCATTGGAGGCGCTCTCTTCTTCGCGTCATCTGCTCCAGGCGAATGTTCCGCGTGATTCCGCAAGGCTCCGTTGCCGAAGCTCTTTTGCCTCGCGACGCGCCAATTCTTCTTCTTCCGCGACGGTGAGTTTCGCCGTGAAGTCGCGCCAGTGGGGGTAGGTCTCCATGAACCTTTTATTTGTGTAGGGTCGCGGGAATCCGTCTGTGTCGTAGGTGCCGACTCCAACACCGCGTAGCATACCCCGAAGATGTTGTGATGCGGGTCTGGGGAGGGGATGTTCCGGCGTTCCGAAGACGACCCGCGACCTTTTCTGCCTGCCGCGCGCTCGGGGTGCGCGGCGTTTTTTCTTCCCGCCGTGCGCTCGGGGCGCGCGGCGGTTTTCTGCCCGTCGCGCCGCCCTGCTCGTCACGCGACGCCCTGCCCTGCCGGTCTCGGCGCCCCCGGGGACCCGCGCACTGCTTTTTGTTTCCCGTCGGGGCGCCCCCAGGGACCCGCGCGCCGCCCCCTCCCCCCCTCCCGTCGCCTCGTTGCGGCGCCCTGGGGGCCCACGCGTCGCTCCCT